TCTCTTTATTTCTTCATACTTTCTCATAACAAGAAAATCCCCATTGTCAAAATTGTTTTTTCAGAAATCCTCAGAGACCGGCATCCAAAATGCTTGCTCAGTCTCAGTCCAGAACCATTGACATTGTTGACAATCCAGTTCCTTTACAAATCCTATCTTAGTTTTATTTTATTATGCTATACCTATATTTGCTTTCCTTTTCTTCACTCTAGTTCCTAGAATTAACAAATTCATAGAAAACAGTCTCAAGTTGTCATTTCTCTCAAACCCCCACTACTTCCTCCTTCACCTCCTTGAGCCTGACTGGCAGGACTCACCCTGCTCAGGAACCAAGCATGCAGCAATTCCCACCACATCATGTCTTCACTGGAAAGCAAATACATCCAATATCAAACCGCTTTTCCCTCTGGCAAACTATGCACTTCATTATTTTCTCCTGTCCAGTGTCAGTAGGTGAGGAGATTTTCTTTTTTTCTCCCCTCTCTCTTTTCTACACTTATATTTAATCAGTGGCAAAGTTCTGTAACTAAGCAGTATTCTTCATATCAATTCTCTCTTTTTCTTACTCCTTGATTATTACTGAAGTGAAAAAGATGACCTCATGGATGGGACTAATTATTCTCATGAAAACAAATTCAAAGAGAAAAACAATGAATGGCTAAATTTTTAAAATTCCGATAAGGATGAGATGTCATCAGGATGGGCCAGTTGAATGCTTATGAACTGGACTGATAATCCAGCATTTCCTTGAGGAAATCATTATGGCCTATGTTCAAAGGCGATTTTTGTCTAAAAATAATTTATGTTCATTAAGAATAAACTTATTTTTGACAAGATTGTCCAGTAAATCAAAATGCTAATTTAATTAACAACAAGACAAACCACTGCCAAAAGCACTGAAAACTCAAAGGTAAATAAAGTGAGCAGGTCTGAAAAATGAGGAAGAAAAATTGTGAAGCATTAAAATACAGAATAAACTTTAAAAATATAAAGAACACAGTTACTTGAAGTCATCTAAGTTATTTTATGACTGACAGATAAGGTAGAACTGGAATGAACATAATAAACAGAAAAAGAAAACGTAAGATCATAAGAGTTTTAATCAGCCTTAGGAATTGTATTAGAGCACTGGCTAAGTTGCTGGAGAGGCCACTTCAAACCCACTAGGACGGTTATGATCAAAAAAGCGGGTAATTACAAATACTGCTGATGATGTAAAAGAAAGCATCCTGACACACTGACGATGAGAATCAAAGTGTTGTAACCTGTTGGAAAAATATTCTGACCTTTCCTGAAAAAGCTAAACAGAGTGACCATATACCCAGCAATTCTACTCATAGATACAGACTCACAAAAATAAAAGCATATGTCACACAGAAACCTTTCCACAAATGTTAACAGCAGCATTGTGAAAATGTCAGAAGCAACCCAAATACCCACCAACTGATGAGTGGAAAAATAAAATGTGATCTATTCATGCAATGAAATATTATTCAGTTGTAAAAAGGAATAAAGTGCTGGTGTACATTACAATATGAATGAACCTCAGAAAGCATTACAGACAATGCTCAATATCTGGGTGACCGGTACACTAGAAGCCCAATCTCCACCATTATGCAATGTACCCAAGTAACCGACATGCACATATATCCCCTGAATCTAAAGCAAAACCAAATTATTTAACATTCTTTGTGTTCATTTATTTACTGTATTCCAAACTATGCTAAAATTATTTCAGTCGAGGATGATAGCTCAGGTCTGTAATCCCAGCACTTTGGGAGGCCAAGACAGACAGATCACTTGAGCCCAGGAATTCAAGACCAGCCTGGGCAACATGGCTAAACCCCATCACTACAATAAAATAAAATAAAAAAAAATTAGCCAGGTGTGGTAGCACATTGACTGTAATCCCAGCTACTGGGAGGCTGCAGTAAATCTATAAAAATGGAAGTAGACTGTGGTTACCCAGAGCTGAAAGAATTGGCAGGGGAAACAGAGGGTGACTCTAACGGGTAGATAATTTCTTTATGGGGTTCTGGAATCATTTAGTAGTGATGGTTGGATAAGTCTATGAATATACTTTTAACATAATGAACTGTAAACCGTATATTATTCAAGATTTACTGCAATAAATCTGCTATAAAAAGTCATTATGGAGTTCTCTTTCTCATCTTGCAAGGTAGCAGGTGAAAAATTTGAGAAGCTGGACACTAAAGAGAAGAAACCTGAAGCCAAGAAGGCTGATGCTGGTGGCAAGGTGAAAAGGGGTAAAAAGCCCAAGAAGGGGAAGCGCACTGCAGCCGCCATCCCGTCCTTGTCAGAGGGATTGGCAGGTGTTCCCCTCCTGCCACGGATTCCAGAAAGGCCACGTACAACAGGAAGTACTCAGCGGCTAGATCTGAGGTTGGAAAGAAAAAGGAGGAGAAGGTTCTTGCAGCTGCTACGAAACCAGTTAGTGGTGACAAGAACGGCAGTACCCGGGTGGTTAAACGTCGCAAATGTCTGGGTACTATCCTACTGAAGATGCGCCTCGAAAGCTGTTGAGCCTCAGCTAGAAAAACAAAACAAAAACAAAACAAAAAAACCCTTGAGTCAGCACGTGAGAAAACTGCGAGCCAGCGTCACCCCGACCGCTCTGATCATCCTCGCTGGAGCCACAGGGGCAAGAGGGGGGCTTTCCTGAAGCAGCTGGCAGGTGGCTTGGTACTTGTGACTGGACCTCTGGTCCTCAATCAAGTTCCTCTACGAAGAACACCCCAGGAATCTGTCACTGCCGCCTCAACCAAAGTTGGTATCAGCAATGTTAAAATCCCCAAACATCTTACTGATGCGTACTTCAAGCAGCAGCAGCTGCGGAAGCCCCGACTCCAGGACGGTGAGATCGTCCACACGGAAATACGAGATTACAGAGCAGCACAGATGGATCAGAAAGCTCTGGGCTCACAAAATTTACCAAAAATCAAAGCTATTCCCCAGCTGAGGGCTACCTGTGATCTGTGTTTGCCCTGACGAATGGAATTTGTCCTCACAAATTGATGTTCTCAATGTCTTAAGACCCTAATTAAATAACTGATTACCTTTTTTAAAAAAGTTATTACGGTGGATGATAGCATTTACTGTGACACAGTTGTAAAAAATTTTGCAAGTCACTCTTAAATGGAATCCTTAATTATATACAATGTCTTCAACAATATTGTTTTCTTTTTTAATAAGGCAAAATTTATTGGAATTTATCGAGGAAAGTCTTATTTTAAGGATCACTAAAATTCTTTTCTAACTTATATGAACTATAATTCTTTTTCACCAGGCAGTACTGTCAATAAATAATATTTACTAGAAGTTACACAATGTAATTTAACTTCAGCCCATGAGTAATGATCTGTGTTAGAGTTTATGGAAATTATTTTATCATTCATGGATACAACAATGAATGAAGTTGGACTAGATAGTCACCATTATAGTTGCATGAATCTGTACAATGATGTTATGAAAAAATAATGAAGACACTTGATGACTCCTATGAATGTCCATTTAATTGTCGTCAAAATGACTTTTGTTACTCTATTTAATTGCATCAAAATGACAAGTACTTTCTGCAAAGAAAATCAATTTCATTCCTAATCCTTTACATCCCTCCTATTGCACATATTAAAGGCTTGTAAATGTACAGAATAAAAATATTCCTATCCACAACTTTGAGAAAATTGCTCCTAAGAAACTCTCTCTCTATTTTTTTTTTTTTTTTTTTTTGACAGAGTTTGGCTCATTTACCAGGCTGAAGTGCAGTGGCATGATCTCGGCTCACTGCAACCACTGCCTCCCAGGTTCAAGCAAATCTCCTGCCTCAGCCTCCTGAGCAGCTGGGATTACAGGCGTGAACCACTACACCCAGTTAATTTTTGTATTTTTAGTAGAGACGGGGTTTCTCCATGTTGGTCAGGCTGGTCTCGAACTCCTAAACTCAGGTGATCCACCCATCTCAGCCTCCCAAAATGCTGGGATTATAGGCGTGAGCCACCCCACCCGGCCACTAAGAAACTCTTACCATCCTAATTAGGCAATTAGAAGTAAGACAGTAAAATCTAATTTAGAATACCATTAAGTATTTACTACTTCTAAATTAACAACTTATCCATCTATAATTAAATCCCAAAAAAGAATTTTCCTTTTTCTGGATTTATTTGATTTGACACTTCATTTAAACAATTATCAATTAACTTACTAAATCTGAGTAATCATAACCACTAGCATGAGTGAAGTTTACTTAGAAAATCAACACTGTGTCTGAAATATAAGATTAGAAATATGACAAGGTATGAAATGAAGTGCATTTGTCTCTTTAAATAAGAGCAACGAGTATGTTCACTGCTTACATTTTCTTTGATCATCCAAATAAAAAACTTCTATATTTCATAAAACTCTCAAAATAAACAAGAACAAAAAAGGTTCTGATGGTACAACTTTCTCCTACCTTGAAGTGCATATAAAAAGTGATTTATACTGCAATTGCTAATTTTACACAACTACTTTGTTATTATTCTACAATAATCATAAAATTACGATTTTGAGATCAATTGTGTACATTGAGCTTTCAGACAAAACTTACCTCTGGAACAGAAAAATCTGACTTTAAGTTCTTATACTAATTTAGAATCTTTTAATTAAAATTTTCATTTGCTGCATAAGTATTCATCTCTGAAATAAAAATCATGTCCTAATCCTAGGCCTAGCAAATGATGCAGACCCTTAGAATTCACTAATAAGTTGCAACAAACTATCTCCAGACTGCTGAGAAAAGACAGCAAACAACGGTCAATTTTCTATGTCTTGGATTCGTTATTTATTTATCCCTTTATCAGATGAAGATAACTCACACAAATTCAAATACAGGTACATATTTAGCTGTAAACCTTGGCCCTCTACATTTCTAAATCACATTAACTGCTCTTACTTTTTAAAATATATTTTTAAAGGTTATCTTAAAGAAAAAATATACTTACTGCCCTCTAGAGGTATGAACCAGTAGTGTAATAAGTGTAGATGTTGCTGGGCATATACAGTTTAAAGCTAACATGGCGTATTTAAATTCTTCTTCACAAACAACATGATCTGTTTGAAATAAAATCGGTAAATTAGAATAATTTACCTTTGGAGAGTAATGTAATATAAAATATAAAACAGAATGAATAAATTTGCAAACGTCTCAATATAAGCATACTTGTTTTAGAGATGTTTTTATTAGTGCAATTTTAACCCCAGAAAATATATCTCCTAAGATAGAGTACTAAAGTATGGATTAAGTGACTGGCATGGGGGTCACTCCGGACAGAACAAACTTAGCAACTTTTGCTGAAATGCTTAACCCTATCTTAACAAAATTAACAACTTTTCGTAAAATGCTTAATCTTCTTATGCCTAGCAGGTGGGTTTGAGATGTAGTCTAAAATACATCAAATACTTATAAAGTCTCCTTTAGTTCTGATCATTCTACGCTATAAAATACAACAGTACTGACTTAGAAGAGTATTGATTTATCAAATTCATAATGATACAGCATAAATTTTAGAAAGTAATGATTAAAAGATTTAGCAGAAAACATGTGCCTAGCATAGAAGAAATGGATTTAATACTATGAAAGTAACTGCAATATCAAGCAACAGAATTTGCTAAAGGAAATTTAAGTTGAAATTGTACTTTAACTCCAAGATCTAAAAGTCATAAACTCAAAAAATGATAAGGTCCAGGCAGAAAACATAATAAATGGCAGCGGAAATTCAATGACATAAAAATAATAGTGTTAGAAATGACAGCACATGGGAAGCTGCAGGCCACCTTGAAGGGAATGACACTCCTCAGGCCAGGCATTGTCATGCAGGAATGAGGGCCTAGATACCAGGTATTCTCTTTTCTGCAGAAGTCATATTTTCAAAAAGTGGTTAAATATTATTTATTTCAGAAAAAATAAAAACCTACTCTTCCAAATAAACAAGTATAGCTGGTATCAAAAATAAAGAGAAGATTTAAAGTTCTAAGAAAATACATATTCTTAGGCAGAAAAATAGCAGTTTTTACAAAATTAAGAAACAAAAGATCAAATCTGTCAGTGAGCCAGATCTATAAAATGAACACATGACACCATAAATTCATGAGGAAAGAAGAAAAGGTTACATGGGAAATGGTTTAGCAAGTGCTCAGGACAAACACTGACCTTAGTTCTGTCCTGTTTTTATAGTATGATTTAGGACACGAGAAGCACACTACTCTTTATTTCGCTCTCATTTTCTTTAAAAAAATTGTTTCTCTTTCACATCATATGAACGAAAATATATACTATGAATATATGTCAGGGTTTACTCTAAAAACATCAAGTTTATCCTAATAATCTCTCTCCCCACACCCACTTGTCGATATGTTAAAATTTACTTAAAAAGTTTTAAAAATACATAACCAGATTATTTACTGCTTTGCAGGAAAGGCAAGAAGATTCTAAATACAGTTTTGAATGCAGAGAAGTGTACGGAACATTTAGAAAAGAACAGTGTCTTTAAACCACCATTTCAGTATATCTCAAAATAATTTTTGACTGTGTATGCCCAATCTGTGAAAACAGAGTGACAAAACTGCTAAACCCAGAATGTTATTACTGTAGAATCCTATGACATCAATACACAGGGAACCCATAAATTTCAAATCAAAAATTAGAACAGATGATCTGAGAAAAATATGTACATATATTATGACATAGATAGAATTTTGAAAATTTCAAACTATAACAGAAAATTTGGAAGGTATGATTACCATATATGCAATGTAGCATGCAAATATTAACTTTTCCTTACTATAGTGGACAAACCATATTTCTTTCAGTGGGGGAACATGAGAAAACGTGATGCATGTGTGATACTTTGAAAATATATCATTTTATTTTCCTTTGATAGTTGAAAAAGTTATAAACAATAGTTCTCTTCCCTTTTCTTCAATAAATGTATGCATCTGAGTTTGGAGAGCAATGGCTGTGGGAAGATTGTGCCATAAAAACTGTACTAATGCGAACTAGAAGGAAGCAAAAGACTCCTCTAAGTTTCAGGTAGTTATTTTTGTATTTGCATGTGTCCTTTTTCTACATTGGTAAACTTTTACAGCGTCCATCAGCCCTTTCCACAAAAAGTATATATAATACCATCAATGGTGGTAATTTTACATATAAGCACAAAGTATGTATGTACTGTTCCACTGTACACTAAATTATCTAGGGATACAAATGCTGTATAAATTAACAGAAAAATTACTTTATCATGTTTTGCATTGTATATGAGTCAGGAAAAAATTTAAGATATTTAATTCCTATATGTGTTTCATATCAGTCAAAAGCTAGCACGTCATTGATAAAAGTGTCTCTTTTTCCATTGTCTTCTGTATTCATGCCTGAGTGTTTACATATTAAAAAAGCACACTTTTGCTTATTTCCCTTCTGTTTCTCTTTCACGGTAGAATTAGAATATTATATTAATTTTTTTAATTTTCTGTGTATAGATAGTTATATTTACCTAAATTTCATTTCAAAATAGTGTAGGAAGTGTTGCAAAATATTTAATATAAAAAGGGAGTACTGGATCAGAGAAAATAACCATTTAAGATAAATAAGTTAATATATAATTATCATGAAAGCCTTTGTTAGACAAAAAGTAAATTCAGTACTCTTCATTAATAAAAGTTATTTAATTTCTATGAATGGAAAATACAAGGAAAGAAATAAGACAGACATTCAACTGGATAATAATCTTTATTTGGATCTATCACAAAATGCTAAAACTCAACCTGCAAAATAGAACTGATTATATACCTACACTTCTCTCAGGTCCAAATCAATCCTGCCTTTTAGGACATTTTTAATACTAACCACTAATCCTTAGCCTGAATTAAAATGCTGAAAATATTCCTTCATACTAATTGCTCCTCATTTCCTAACACATTATAATAGCCAAAGTTTGTGGATCATGCAATCAAATTCCCCTCTCTCTCTTACTTCCCCATTGCCATTCTCACTACTTACTACAGGTTTCCAACATATCCATAATTCTTCAGGGTCAGATATCAAATTTCAGAATTAAAAAAAAATCAGATCTTAGAAAGGCAGTATGTTTCATCTACCAGACACCATATAACTCTAAGGTAACAACCTGTTCCTAAAAACATTTCTGCAGCTAAATGTGTGCATATTTAAACTAAGTAGAAAAAAACAGGGTTAAATAGCTTCGCGATGGTTCAGTGTAGAAACTACCACCGAATAATTTCAGGTAATTTCAGGTTTTCCACCAAGAATACAAAAATATTTTTCATTTTTCAAATACTTTCATTTTCCAAATAATTTCATTTTGGAATTAAAGCTAAGGGATTGTGGACTGTTATTCAAACTCTGGTGTTCTTTTATGTAAGCTAACAACTAATTGGTTTTCATGTTTCCTAACTCTTCAGCATTCTACCTTGTAAAAGCTGATGACATAAATTGGGTAACTCTTGACACAACCAACTAAAATAAAACAATCCTGATAAATTTTATAAAATTAATCAAAAAGGAAAGAAGGAGGAGAACTGAAAATAAAACAAGCTTACAGCACCCTTCAGCATGAATCATTAGGTCAGCTTACTTTCTGACCCACGTCCTCATAGTTGTTTGACTATTGCCCCAAAACCCCATAAACACTGTTACAAGACTACAGCTCCACTTAAGTGCTCCATAAATTACAACTTAAGCATTGTAAGACGTTAACGTTTCCATTCAAGATATTCTTTAAAGTTCTTCATACTGGTGAAACTACTGACATCAGCTGGTCTGAAAGACCCCCACTGATTCTAGCTACCCTTTAGGACCCCAAGAAGTGCTGACTTACCAAGGAAAGCTGTGTCCACATTCTGATTATTTCAATTCCCCTTACTCCAACCAGTCAATGATCCCCAAATCCCCTTGGCCTCTACAAACTCCTTAAAAACTCTAGCACATAGCTCCTCAGGGAGATGAATTTGAGGGCCTCCTGTCCTCCTTGCTTGGCTGTCCTGTCATCACTAAACTCTTTCTTTGCTGCAAACCCTCTTGTCTCAGTGTGTTGGTATGTCACTCTGTAGTAGGCATATGAAACTTTTGGTCCTGTAACAACTTCAAAGTTGAGGGGCCAAGGGGACAAAAGCATTCAGGGCACATTAACACCAGCTCCAAGAATTAAACTGCTACAAACACATCTGCTAAAACAGCCTGTTGTAATCCTAAGACAAATTTTAGCTAGCAGCGGCTGAAACAACTTGCCATGATTCTAAAACTAGTTTTTTCTACCACCTTTACTCACCAGAGATGGCCAGCTCCCAAAAGCTTCCTCAGTGCCAGTGACCTTTCTTTCAAAATAATATAGAACATTTCTTCTTAAAGTAAGGCCCCTAATATTATATTATTCTTCAGACAAATCAAAGACCACTCTGGTACATGTGTTTGTTCTGAATTGCAATTATGTGATTCCCAAATAAAATTTTTAATTTGCAACTTTTTTTGAATTTGACAATTCATTACCCTCTACCCTTCTAAAACTATGCTATGTAATACAGCAGCCACCAGTCACATGTGGTTATTTAAATTTAAATAAAAGTAAATACAAATAAAATTTCAATCCCTCCATCATACTAGTTACATCTTACTAGCTCAATAGCACTTACGGTTACTAGCTATAGTATGGGATAGTGCATACATAGACATTTCCATTATTAAAAAAAAAAAAATTCTGTTGAACAGTGCTGTTTGATCTGCCAAATGGTTTAGAGGCTTTTTCATAAATTCTAAAACATACATGAGATATATAGCCTTAAAATGTATTTCATAAACAGTAAGAATCTGGGTAATCATACTAACTCAATATACCACCTTTCTATGGGGCCCCTTCTCGGTCATATTGCCACTAAAGTTGTCCATCTGAAATAACAGGAGCTACAGCAGAACATATTGGTATAAACGCAGGTGGGTGTGTATATTTGTTGGCAGAAGTTTATAAAAGTTGTTTTTCTTCCTGTGGTTGTTTTTTTAAGCAAAAGACATGGAGATGATGATTAAGAAAAAGTTTGGAGTT